GTATACGCCACGCCACTTTTGTCTATTAAACGAAAGCGCTAGTCTGATGTCAGCAAGAAAGCAAATTATTTTGGGTTTTCGGCTGTAAGCAAACAAATTCTATACAAGTTCATGTTATAGGTATTGAATCCTGCATACTGGAATGCAAGTCAATATTTTAGCACTTTGTATAACTAGTCTGCTAATGACTCGAGCTCTAACCGCCAAAACGACGTAAGCGACATTTTTTCAAAATTTTTTTTTTCTGCTCTAGGTATACATATTTCTGCATAAAAATTAGATTTTGACAAAAATTTCACTTCTGTCTTTTTGGTGGTTAGATCTCGCAGCTTATAGCGTTGATTAACATAAATGATAACTTTTGAAAAAATTTGCCACGTATTTCAGCTTCAGTTAATAATTTAAGTAGAAAACTTTAATGTGGATGCCAAACCAGAGAGCTTTACAAAAGCTTTATTTCTAAAATGTTGCAAACTTTGGAAAAGTTCAAGTTCAATTTAATAAGATTAATGAAACATTACCATGCGACGTAAAACTACAAACATTTACAAATGCTTTATTTTGAACGCATTTTTTAAGAACGTTGCCATCTGCTTAAAAAATTAAAATTAATGTAAAAAATAATGATAAACGAGAAAGGGTTAAGTAGACTTTATTCCGGAAATTTTTTTAATAGTGTTGCCACCTGTTTTAAAAGTCTATTTAAGTTTAATTAATACTGTTCACTGTCAAACGAAAGAATTTTACGAAAGCTTTATTTCCAAAACATTTTTGCAGAGAGTTGCTACCTATTTAAAAAGTTCAATTCAATTCAGTTAATTTTGTAACCGGAGTAACTTAAGTATTAAAACTGGGGCCTAGAGTTCTATCCCGATATTCAAATATGTATTCGAATAAGGATAGTCCCAGCCTAAATTAAACCCAAATTAATTGGAAAAAATTTAATAAGAGTGCTTTTGCCAAAATGTTTGCTTCTAAATCAACTTTTTCCGTGGAAATAAAATATATCGTCACCAGACAAGAACAAAGCGCGAGCTTAAAAGCTGACCGCGAAAAGCGACGCATAAAAAAAAAACTTCAGCGAAGAAAGGCGTCAAAACCTAGTCGATGGCGAAGAAAGTCCGTTAACTTATTTTCGCGGTCGACTATGTTTCCGGATGTAATTGTATGTACATTCCCCAAAGAGTTTTGGGGAACAATGCTGAAGTGTCAGTCCTTTTCGCGTCTAGTGACGATATGCATGCACAGCTCAGAGTAGGAGAGCCCAAGCGAGGTCTTTTGCTCTATGCCCACAAAAGCCGAAAATATCAAGTTGTACCCACTTTTACTAGATTTGATAGCTCCAAAGCTGAGACTTAAAACTAAAGCACATGGATTGAGAGAACCGCTAGATTCTGATATAAACCACCAAAAGCTTTTATTTATACAGGTGACAAACTTCAAGGCCGGGTCTGAGGATTATATTCTTCACCTAAACTAAGGTTGGATACATTTCTTCGAGTTCTCGACCACCACAGTGTATATCCAGAAGAAGGGTTGCTCATGCAAGAAACAAAATGGAGTCTTGCTCAATGGACTGCAGCGAGGTTACCAGTCTTCATTTACTCTGACAGCCAGGCTGCATTGAAAGCTTGACAATCTCATATAGGCACCGCAAACTTCTTTACTGAATGTCGTAGAAACAAAATGGAGTCTTGCTCAATGGACTGCAGCGAGGTTACCAGTCTTCATTTACTCTGACAGCCAGGCTGCGTTGAAAGCTTGACAATCTCATATAGGCACCGCAAACTTCTTTACTGAATGTCGTAGATCTTTGAAGGAGATGGTTTAACAGACTAGAGCTCATATTAGAAACCGGCTATCCGGCTATTCGATTAGCCACTTAATAAACGAAAAGCAAATATTCGAATAACCGCACAGTTCACTTTCGACTAACCGCTCAGCATCGTCTGAATATTAATAATTACATACATTAGGTCGGGTCAATATTTTTTTTTTTCGGCTATGCGCTCATAGCACAGATGCTTTCTAAGTGTAATTCTTAGCACATTTTCGAAGAAACCATGGATCAAAAATCAATTTGGAATTTGTAAAATTGCGAAAATAGGTTTCTTAGCATTTTTGTGTAGTGTTGACGACAGAAGTGCTTCAATTTTTTATAAAAAAAAAAAAATCTATAAGGAGTTTTTCCTTAAATTTCCACCACAGGGCGTAACAGTACCGATTTTCATATTTTCTTCGAAACCAATTTTTGCAATTTGGCAAACTCAAAATTGATTTTAGACCCATGGTTTCTGTGGACAATGTTCTTAGAATTACATGTAGAATCCTCCTATGCTAACGCGCATAGTAAAAAAAAAATACCCGCTCTAACATCATATCGCTACCTAAAGGTGAAAAGGTCCCAAGTCCATTTTTTTGTTTCAAATGCAGAATGGCAGGTAATACGAAACTACATCGAGTTTTCATCTATGCTGAGCAATTTAAAAAAATGGGCTTGGATTTTTTCACCCATAGGTAAGAATATATGTATCTCATTTCAAAACCAATTTAATTTTGATTTTTAAAATGAATTCAGCTATAGAATAAATATTCAAATTAATCGAAAACCAATATTTATTGAAATAAAAGAAAGACTACTAGTTGTATAGTCGAAAATAAATGGTTAGTCATTTCACGCAAAGGGGTCGATATGTCAATCGAAAGTAGTTCAAGAAGGCTTTTTTCTTCCTTTTGTATTTTCCAAACGAGTTGCCACCTCTTTAGTAGTTCCAAGTCATATATAGTTAGTACCTTATTTCAGGAAAATGTGTGCTTTACAGCTCCAGGGCTCTAGGTTTTTTTTTTGTTTTTTTTTTTTTGTTCAGATCCAACCACAGGCAGAAAATCGGAAAATCGGCTTACACACAGCGCAGTTGACCGTATCTAATAGGCGGCACAGTTCAATCTTCGGAAAAAAGTAATTTGACATACAGAGGAGAAAAAAAATTAAAAAAAAAAACACACCTAGTCGTGCGTTTACATACAGTTATATGTATATGCATGCCAACCAGCATGTCAGATGTCGAAAAGTAGCAGTTGCAGCAGCAAAAACACACCCACTTGTCATTTGACGAAATCTCCTTTCCAAATGAACGCGCATGCATGCAAACACAAATGCGCACACATATGTATCTACTCTGGAAGATTTAAATATAAAATCTACTAAAGAAATCACTATTTGTCCCAAAAACCTTTTTACTTTGCTTAACTAAAAGTCAGTGCAGTCAATGGGTAGCAACGGAGCTTTGTGACTATAAGCCTACCATTGCACTGACGCAGTTTATGTGGGTGTTTGTTGTTATTTTTGGTCCTCTTTGCAATTTTTTTCCTCTTATATTTAGAATGAAAATGCATACATACACATACTATCATGCCGCTCCAAATAACTACGAACTTACATTTTCATTTTCCAACTGACGTTGACGTTGCTGTGCAGTGAGTCGTTGTTGTTGGCTCTTCCAACCGATGCCGGCAAAAAATGCGATTGTCATGCAGCCGAGTGCACCAGCTGAGGGATAACCGATGGCACGACTGCCCATCACCGATACAGTACCGCCCAAGATGGTCAAAACAAAGCGTAAGCCATTTAGGTAGGGCTGAAATGCAAATGATATATTTGTACAAAAAACAGTAAATAGTAAAACGTGCAGTACAAGAAAAGAACTGGATTTAAATGCATTGTGGTATTTAAAAAGCACAAGGACTAAGTTAAACAAGAATGCTCACATGCACGCTTGTTAAATGCGTGAAAATTTAATATAGTTATTTTCAGAAATTTAAAAATTTAACTCTGTTCTTCTATGAAAATTCCGTTGATACCATACATTTTTATAATTACAAAAATACACTTTTTTACTATCCTCAATCTTCAATGAGCGCTAGTTAAATCGAACGCAAAAAATCATGTAATTTTCAGGATTTTCAGAAAAGCTTACACAGATACTTTTAATACTTACAAACTATTGCAACTAAGAGCTCTTCCAGCTCAAATCGCTGCAATTTAATTTAATTTATAAACGCAATCGCTTTCAATGTTCGCTGCTATACCGCGAAATGCGTAAATCACACAAATCAAGTGGTAAATCATTCCCTTTGCAAAGTACCGTAAACTAGATGAATAAAAGCAGCATATATTTTCGTTTGTACTCATAGCCATGCACGTATGTATGTACAAATGCATGTTTTCAAGGGGATGAATATGTCATTGGTTAGAGTTTTTACTGCTGAAAAATTTTCTTTGCACATACGTAGTGCTTTTTATAAGTCTCAAAGGTTAGCTTTCTTTGTTTTACGTTATCTAACCTAGGCAGTGTTTTCATATCCTTCAAATGACAATTCAGGTAGGTACGTCTAGCAGAATGGATGAGACATTTGCAAGCTCTTCGCCTAAAAGGCTGGATTTGAGTGAGGTTTCTGTAATTCATTGTATACCTCCTGGCAGCCGGCATGGCAAATGGCTGTACGCGTAAACTTATATATAGCTAGAAGATTACGAATCCGTATACCATACCATGCTCAGATTGGCATTGAGACAACTTTTCGCGGTCAAAGTCAATCTGTCTGAAGCTTATTGGAATTTCGTCGGAACTAGCACGAATATAAGCGGGTACAAAACGACTTACTTAAACATTGAGCATACTGAGAAAACTATCACGGGGCATGTGAAGTTTGGGCTGTGACAGATGTATTCATTTACCAAGGCTGCTTCGCTCACTTTTCGCTCTTTACTGGCTTTATATGTAGTATAAATTTGTAAATTATTTAGGGGAAACTTTCCTATAATGTATGTGCGATGGCTAAAGGTATGGTGGACGAAGGTGTATGAGGCGTGATACCTTTAGTCCAACTTTTTAGTGAGAGTATGAACCGGCTAATACAAAACTAAGGGAGTCCTTAGAAAAATGGTAAAAAATCGCAGGTTTTACGCTCGTTTTCGCTTGTTTTAAGAATGCATACTTCGGTCGCGCTTCTGAAAAATAACATTATTTTCGAGCAGAACTGTCTTTCGTGCAGTGATTGTAATACTCTCGTCATTTAGCCTCATAGCCTGCGATTTAAGGTATTTCAAAAAAAAAAAATTTAATAGAATTAATTAATATTAAATGAAAAGAAAGTAATTTTAAACATTATGTTTGGCCTACCCATTCCGACATAATAACCGAAACAAAAGCGCACATATACGAAGGCAGCCCATTCGTGATTTTGCTCATACCTTTAAATAAAGTTTTTATTAAAAAAAAGTTTTTATACGTACTGCTGTAGAATTTTATGCAAATATGGACATGAATCTAAGACGAAGTAGGTAAGTACATATGTACATTATTATAAATGCACATACCTATGTATGTAATAGACTTTTTCTCGAACACAAAGCTTTATTGAGACAAGGAACTTAAAGCCACAAACAATATTGCAGACTGATGCAAAATGTCTATGAGTTCAGTGTTTCCGACAGTATACATAAGTATGTAAATACATACATATATATGTGCATTTAATAACAGCGAATTTTGCGGCAACAAAAATTGTTCGCTTCACTGCGCGCTTTATGTATATTGTAAAATCTTGTTTCCACATACGCGAACAACGAGAAAAGAAATCTTTATTTCTCTGAACTGCGCTAAAAAGATTCACTCTCATTAAGATCGTCCTTGGAAGCTTTTTTCTGCTAACCATATCACTTAATTTCCTATTATCCTTTCTATAGTCTGCGTAAAAATATATTTTTATTATAGCTATCATCCCGGGCACTAAATAAATGTGTGTGTATGTGTGTGTGTGTGTGTGTGAGTTTGTTAACGTGTGACAAGTATGCATTATGCGGCACTTATAAAGAAATTGTCAAAAGGAATAAAGAAGGCACAAAAGTAAGCAAGTGTGCGAAAAGGCGATGAATGCTTTCTTCTTCCTTCTCTCTCCCTTTCTCTTTTGCACTGCACTCGAACAACTTGTACGAGATATGACTTGAAATTACAACTTCGCATTATAATAAAATCACTGGCACTACTGCGTTCTACTAACTTTGTACCACTAGGGCGCTACTAAATTGAAAAAAAAGACATAGCAAAAATTTACATGCACACAAGAAACTACATAACACAGAGTTGCTTTGCTGTGGAAGCACTCATACTATATGTAATGTGTGGATACGCGGATGAGCACGTTGGAGAAATGCATGCTGGGCAAGAAAATGTTATGCCCATAACCTCACAGTGTGAACTGAAATTTAATTTTTTTTTTTGCTGCAGTGCTTTGTAAAGTTGTTGCTGTTGCCTGGAGAGTCATTTAATATTTCTTTAAAGGGTGTTAAAATAAAAAAAAAATATCTTGTAGTGAAGTGCATTGATTTTTTGGGCACTGCCTATAAATATTATTTGATTTCAAATTGCAGGTGCACCACATCGTAGGAGTAACTCAGTATGAGACAGCTACCTAGAAGGATAAGGAATAATGCAGATATTTCCAGTAAATGATAGAACAGATTTATTTTATTTACGGACTGTATACTATTTTTTGTTTGTTTGATTTTTACTTAGAAAAAAAAAACTTAGAGAGCCAATCGCAGGACTAGAGCTCGCCTAGGTGTTCAGTGATTCTCGGTGCATGTCACCAATAACTTTCTGATTTCTGATAACCCCAGGAAAAAGTTCAGCTTAAAGTAAATGGCGAGTCTAAGCATTTAGCCAAAACTGCTGGTGTCACCAAGTTTAGACTTTTTGCAGCAGATTTTTAAAGCCGAAGAGGAAGAAATGGAGGAAAACGAGATTGTATTTCACTGACTTCTTTTCAAACTTGAATTATCAGCGAAGACCTTCGAGCAGCATGTAAATGCATGTCCGATTAGGCTGGTCCAAAAAAAAAAACTAAAGTCGAAATTTTAATGCAGCTCTTAGATAGCAAATAAAAATTCATAAATTCTTTATCAAGAATTGTAACCCTAGCACAAAAATTAAATGGTCTTTTCTTCATAAGTTATCAAGACTGAAAATACTATTAAAATTGAATATGAAAATTATAAATTTTGTATGATAAAAAATTGTTTTCTATCATTTAAATACTGCATGTGCCAGCATTTGTACCTGCGACACACAGAATTACAGCCGACATCTCTACCTACCCGGCTGCGGCAGTCAAAAGCTCTTTTGCTTTTAAATTCATATTTTAAAAATCTTGATAAAATTTCTTTACAAATAATTTACTTTAATTTTGAAATCAAAAAATGTTTAGATTTTACTCAATGCGTTAAAAGTTTCCATGTATTTTATACGAATCAAAAACAACTTTTCGTAGAAATGGTATAGAATTTTTGGAAATCAATATTTTTCAGTGAAAAGACCCTGGTTCTCTTCAGGAGACTTCCAGCAGTAATATTCAATTGTTATTTAACCATTTTTTTAGTACTAAAGATTTTTTATTGTTCCCCCATTGTATTTTCTGGGGGTTTTAGCGGACCTATAAAACATAGTTACCAGCTAAAAATGGTTAAATAAATAATTGAGTATTATTGCTGAGAATCTCCTGAAGAGGCACAAAGTTTTACGATCGAAAAATTTCGATTTTCAAGAAATCTTTACCATTTCTATGAAAAGTTGTTTTTCCCAAAAAAATAGGAGGAAAACTTTGAGCGCTTTGAGCACTCTCTAACTACTTTTTGATTTCAAAATAAAGAATACTTGTATATTTTTTTAGTACATATAGAGAATTCCTATAAGTTGGCGGCATCAAAATTCCGACTTTACTTTTTTTTGAGCCACCCTAATACCCCATTCTTTGATTTTAAGTTTTCATTCTTTTTCTGTCAAAATTAACTGAAAAACGGGTGTAGAAAAAAAGAAAACTCATTTCACGGTTTATGAATTTATATTGGGTATCTAAGAGCTGTCTCATCCTCTTCAAGGGAGGGAGAGGAAATGGGGATTTACTTTTAAAATGTATTTAAAAAAGTGTGATTCAATCCGCTCAATGCAAGCAATTACCAGCTAGACCTCTTGCGATGGGCATCAAAAAATTAAAGGAAGTATTTATCCAAAAAAAGAAACAAAAATAAATACTTTCTGCTAAGTGTTTGGCCGAGCTTCTCCTCTGATATGGGGTATGCATATTGATGTAAGTCTACAATTTAACGCCGCCTCCGAATCTCAAACGGATTTTATCAAAACAATTTTCAAGGCAGACATACGCTCGGTAGTTTTCCGAGGGGCGGTGGCTGTCAATATAATTTTCTCTAATTTTTTCAGATGTGTGTTTTTATCAGAGGTCCAACCTTTTAACGGAGTAATAGTACGTACTTCTAACCACTCGGCTACAGCGACCGCCTTTCAGTCATTTATGAGCGATTTAAATATTCTTGGTTTAAGCACTTTCTGTTCATATTCTCAGATGTTTTGGTTTGTTACCTTAATTAGCCACAATTTTGGCAAAAAAACCCCCTTGAATCTTCTTACGTTCGTCTATTCTTGCGCCGATAAATTATTTTCCAAAAAAAGAAACCACCAAAGGAACGAAATGAACCTTATTCTTGTCTTGCGAAGGAATTATCGGGTCTCCTTTGGCAAGGTCATCTCTTATTGTGTTTGCCTTCATTTTATCGACACCAAACTCCCACTATACTTAAATACACTCCCCGTAGCGGCGATAAGAACAATTAGAGTGTCGTCGTTGCCTTTGAAGGTGCAGCAGCAAAAAACTGATAGGTAACTCTTTCCCAATTTAATCGATCGTGGATGCGATTTTAAAGAAGAGTCATAGCCACTCCCCTCCAGCATGTAAGCAGTGTAGACTTGAGTGATAGTCTACCACCCTCTGATTCCGTGGACGAACTTTTGCACCTGGGGATAATGCTATAATAATAATAATAGCCATCGTCATATGTAAGATGAAATAAACAATTTTAAGAAATTAATAAAACTAAAAGATATCAGAAATATATAGTATTTTTTTTTTTTTTGAAGTGAAGATATTTTCAGCGAAATTGGCACTGCAAAATATCAAAATCTGGTCAGCCAAGGGTTTAAATCAGTAAGCTTCCTACGCTTTAAAATGGTTAACCCTGTAAAAGGGCAGCCATTTGCGCACACTGTGGCAAAACTGTGCAGCAACTTAAGCAAAAGCACCAACAACAATGCAATAAATGTAGTGCCAAAATCGGCGCCAGCGTCGAACGGCTTGTGTGCAAAACTGGAACCTACTGCGAGGAGTAATGTCATAATAAGGCGTGTGTCGCTGGCTGCAGTACTTGAGCCACTGTGCGCTAGTGGCGTGGCAACGTTTGATTATGTGCGCCATTAACGGTGCAAGTTGCAGCAAATGGCTCGGCGGACCAATACTAGTACAGTACACGTGTGTTTTGCGAGGGTGTGTGTAGCTTTATTTTCGAATTGAGGCAGCACTGAGATACATGAGTATGTATGTGATGAACATGGCGATTGAGTAGTGATGTCAAGAAGTAGAATGACGATGCCAACGTGGGTGGTAGTACAACTATGGCAAGTCGCTATTGTGGCGACACAGATTACAGCTGCAGCTCGTTTGTGATGCATTTTATGAACGATAAAATGCAGTAATTTTGAGATACTACAGTGACCTCGCTGTGCATTGAGCGCATGTGCATACCATTCACTGTAAATTTAATAGCGCCAGTTGCGCTTATGGCTTTGATGCGCGCGCGGCGTGTGTGTGTGTGTTTTTTCGACAACGCCAAAATGTATGCTAAAATATTTCAAAATAATCTTTTCGCTTTATCTTTGCAACTCCATTCGCGTACAGTACATAGTTTGAAAAACCACACACACACACATTTTTATTATGGCATAAGTGGCTTTGTATGCTTGCTCTTAAATTTCTTTTTTTTTTTTGAATTTAACCCATTTCAATGCATTCCTAACTTAATCATATGTGGATGTACATATATTCTATATATACAACTAAATAGTACATACCGTCTTTGTAGATGGCAAAATAGTCAACATCAGTCCGTAGACATAGCCAAATACGATGCCAATACCGATGCCGATAGGTCCCTGCAGTATTTGTTGCGTCAATGATTTATCTATAAATATCAAATTCAATTACGGCATATTAAACTCAATTTCGCACTGCAAGCTATTTACTATGTAACTAAGTATAATTAATACTTTGCATTTACTCACCCGTGGAGAAGATGACGCTCATAATGACACCGAAGAGAAAAATGGCGACGACATCATTGCAGCTGGTCATGGCGTATATTAATGTGTGTATGCCGCTATTCAGGCCGAGTCGCTCTTCCTTCAGCTTCAGCATTACAGTGACGACAACGTTCGGAGAGACAGCGGTGACGACAAGACTGCAATGTTGGGGATTAAAAGAAAATTCCATGTAATTTTTTTTTGTCATTACTGAGCGAGCGAACGGGTTATGCCACAAAGTTTGTGTAGCGTAAAATATTTATACATATTTAAGAATTTTTTCTGAAACTTTTATAAATTACTAAGCGTAACTTAAATATTTTCTTACACTTAGCTACTGAATGAACGTAGCAGATTCGTAGAGTGGAATTTAATTTTAATTAACTAATTATTTTCTAATAATGTCGGGTAATATCATGAAAGTTATTTAATGCGCCATGACTCATAAAAGAGATTTACTTTATTTCTGTGCTTTTTTTTGCTGTTTTAAGAACACAAAATTGAATAATATAATATAAATAGCTATTCAACTGATATCTATATACAGAAATGTACTCATATAAAAGGAATGTTGCTGTTTTTTTTAGCGCGCCTAAAGTAAAAATTACGTAACTGATTTAACCCTTCTGCGGTTAAAATAGAAACTAGTCAATTTAAAAAAAAAAACATATTTCAATTTGAATTCAGTTAATAATTTATTTGTGGCATGCAAACACTTTATCGGCAAGTGCTGTATGCTCACACGTTCAAAGTTGCCCTTAAATAATAGTTTGGGTAAAAATGATCCAGAAACACTGTAGGTGTATGAAAAAAAACTATGTGACCTTCTAGAAAACAAAATTTAAAAAAAACCTTGTATTTCTTGTAAAACCATAGCTGATTATGCCTTTAACGAATAAGCAACGCTGCTGCTTATTTAAAATTACCTAACTCTGTAATTAAAGAATTTTCATGAAAATTGGCTCATTTTAACCCAATCATTGCAGAGGGGTTAAACGAAGTTTAAAGGTATTGAACACAGACAAGAATTTTGTATGCAATTTTTCCCAAATTTGGCACAGTTGTTGGTGTATGGGTATATTGTACCAAACAGTTGAAAATTTTTAAAATCGAACAGTAATCACGCCCACATCCCATATAACGGTAATTTAGAGAAATGCAAAATCTTCGATAAATCAGTAAATACCTAAGATAATTTAGTCAAAATTGACGATTGCAATAATTCTTTAGCAAAAAATACGTTCATGATAAAATTTTGGAAAATGGGCGTGGCCCGCCCACTTATGACCATACATATACATATTATGCTCGAACGTATTAAACAAATTTTTGCTACTAACCCTAATAAAATACCCCAGAACCATGGCATTTCCAGTGTAAATCTCGCTACAACTGCAATTGCCGTCACTTCAGCGATGGTTGGTATAAGTGTAAGGCGTAAAATCATAAGCCACAGCTTCTTGAAGGCGTTCGCATCGAGGCCAAGACCTGCTAACAGCATAATATTAATCAGTGCCATCTCCCTGAAAATATTTCAAACACACAACCTCTTATTGTTATAGGTATAACATTCATACCGACTGGGAAATTATTTAGGTGAGCATCTTTCGAGGTAATCCCTATTTTCTTCTGGCCTCTAGTATGGATAATGCAAGGCAGCTTACAATGTAAGGCGTCATCGGAGGTGTTGATTTTGTGCGTTACTAGTAGATGACATTGTTCGTGATGACAATTTTTGTTATAAAAATCCGGAAGAAAACATGGATTACCTTGTAAAATGCTTAGCTATTTTCCGAGTAGGTAGCAGCATTAGTTTACTTACATACATAGCTGTTTTTTTTTTTTTTTTTTAATTAATTTTAATTACCTCAGAAAAGCCTCTAATTTATCATAGCCCGTAAAATCGGCTAAACCCACATTTGTGTACAACACACCGAAGAACAGCATGCCCAACATATCCGGCAAGCGGATGAAGGTCACCAGCACACCGGTCAGCTGTGCGCCCACAAAGAGGAAGAATATGCGCATAATTGGCGTATGTGGAAGCGCATAATCGGGCAGCAGCACAAATGCAATGATCCATAAGCCAATACCGACAGCCGCCAAAGCCAGTGGTTGGGAGATGAAAGGCCAGTGTTGGACTAGAATGCGCCAGCTGCGCGAGAACAAAAATAAAACAAACGTAAATATTATAATTGAGAAAAATGCAGAAAAATTTTAATATATTAATTATTAGTAATTTTAGTTCATATATTTATAAGCAGATAAATATGATTTAATATACGTATACATACATACATTTACTCGTAGCATATCTTTTAATTAATCAACAAAATTGAACTGCTTCCATTCACGCCACATAAACAATGTTTAACCATTTGGCTAAAGAGTTGTATTTAACTTTGAAAACTGCAGAACCAAATAATACTTATACGACTTTCCGCCTACCTATATATGTATGTATGTGCAATCGCATTACCACTTACCACAAGCATACATACGTACATACATGCATACGAGTATGACGAAAAGTCATTAAATATGCAGTTGTTATTATCGAGCTAATTATACGAAATTGTCGTTGCTTTATGTACATACAAACATTTTTAAAAGCATAAAAACATACATACATATATACATTAACACAAATATTCATATGTATATAATTGTTTTCTGCATTTATAAATACACAGCAACAACGTAATTTAAATATTCTGTGGCAGATGCACACAAACGGCAAATAAGTAAGCGGTCAATTCATTAAAACAGAATATTATGTTAATTGTCAATTAAAAAAGTTAATGACTTTAATTGGATTTCCATGATTTTCGCTATTTCAACAAATATACAAACACATTTACATACATATGTACACTTGGGTGCAAAATTGAGTCAATAATGCACAAAAATCACAATTTATACGTTTTTGGGAGGTTCTTTGGCAAAATTTTAATGATTTTTTTTTAACATTTATTAAGGCACAGTTCAAAGCACTAGAATCCACCATAAAAATATTAAATTTCGCTAACGGACATGCACTCCATAAATTTTTCTAAATTAACACATTGACTCATTTTTACAACCACATAATTTCTAAGAGATATTGCCACGCTGCAACTTGCCGCTACCCGTTTTACTCCGTCGACCCTGCGAAGCATTCTTATCACGGTCCAGACTCTAGCATCTCCACTAACGCACGCCACAGCTTCTTTAGCTACCCTGCAAAAAATTGTGCGACTAATCTCTAAAGAGAGTATTCCGAGATTACTCTCAATCGGGTACAACTGGGCATTAATTAGTCGCAACTAGTCTCATACGGGTACTAATGGAGGTCAATTAGTCTCGACACATCCCTTATGGGTATAATTGGAGATCCATTAGTCCCCAACTCATCTCTAACGGGTACTATTAACGATTTAATTATATGTACGCTCTTAGTCAATGACATTTCATGTGCGGCGTTGGCACACAGAGAGAGTATTCGCCTAACAAAACTGAGCAACCCGGTTCGAATCTCAGCTGGCGAAAATTTTTATTTTTATTTTTTAAAAGTGACTAGTCGCTTTTTATACCCAATCGGATATAAAGGTGAACAATTAGTCTCTCCATAGGACATGCTCGAACAACAGCGAACAGTTCATTCCATATAAAGAGATCAAAAGTGGTATTAGTCGCATGCTCCTTTGCGATTGCTCCCGGAGTCATCCCGGATTAGTCCAATTTTTTGCAGGGTATAGATTTTCTGTCTCACGTTATTAAACGCCTAATTTTTCGTCATTCTACCGCGAATATTTTCGGATTCCTTCCTGTGATCTCTTTTTTATTATTGACTCAATTTTGCACCTAAGTGTATGTATAAACAGAAGTTTTGTTAATTTTCGCCTGGAAAAAAGTTCTGGTTTATGGCAAATTTAAGATTTATTGTGAAAGAGATTTAAGAAATTGTGCTTGACAAATATTCAACTGAATTGTTTTGAATATATGTGGCAAGTAGATAAGTCAATACGGCAAGTAAGGAAATAAGTTAAATCTCAGAAATTTTAAACGAAAAATATTTTCGTCATAGCTGTAGGGACTAGGAAGAAGTGGATAATGTCAGATAGACCAGGGTTTTAAATCTTATATAAATACTCGACGTTGGCTCCTCGGATGGAGCGCAGGTAAAGAACGCTCGAATCGTAACTTCCGTCCATCATAACGTGATCAATTTGGTTCTCCGTTCTTTGATCAAAGGATAGCAAAGTTGCTTTGTGGATGTATCAAGGCTGGTTTCTGGTACTGCTAACTACCATTTTTCGGGCCGCGGAGAGTTCGATCAGCCTCTCTCCGTTGTGGGAAGTGTTGTCATGAAGGCCTAATTTTCCGAATATTGGACCAAATATGCTTGCATTTCCCAACCTGGCGTGAAAGTCGCCAAACGCGATTTTAACATGGTGGTGGGAGCAGCGTTTATACGCTTCTCCTAGGCGCTCATAAAAATGCTACTTAGTCTCATCGTCCCACTGTTCTGCTGAGGCGACGCACAGAAATTAGGCTGACGTTTTTCAGTTTTGCCTTTATGCGGATTGTGTACCTGGAGACGAGGTATCTTAGCCTCCCCCCAACCACAAATTCGACACCAAATTTGGGCGCCGTCTCATGGCAGCTGTATTTATTAGATATAGCGTGCTGTAGCCATGCCCCGTCTATCGTATTTCTTGAACTGCGGTGATGTTAGCGTGAAAGTTTCTCGTGGCATTCAGAAGCTTGATAGAGGCACCTTTCCTACATGCGTTTGAGGATTTGTCAACGTTTAGGCGACAACATTACGAGGATTTTCTGTTCATTTCTTTGGATTTAAAGGTTTTTCATGGCAGGTCACAATGGCTGGTTTTTCAACCTGATGCACGTAAAAATAGCGAGAAAGCGAGAAGCCCCAAACATTGCAAACAACGTCGAACATATTACAAGAATTTAAATTTTACAATTTCTTGTGAGATGTTCGCGAACACCGCCATATACAAGAAAAATTACGTGGAGGAGGAACAAACCAGTATATGGACAGCTTTAGGAAAAAATTGCAAACGAATCATTTTATATATAGCCATTTCTCTGAAGTAAAAATTTTAATTTTCAATCTCTGGTTCTGACCATCTGAAAAAATGGTTGCTTGTAGCATTTCATTTTCTGTCGAACTATGACCGGCACAACAAAACCGTCCCCTTTGCGCAGCCTAAGCGCTCGCGGCCCGGATGTGTTCGGTCTAGTGAGGCCACCAAGTGTGGCCTGATGCCTAACGCCGCTTTAAAGCTTTCCTCCAGTCTCTACTGTGTGCTCTCTTTTGTTCTTTGTCTTTAGCAGGTCTTTCAGGGAGCATTCACCCTCTCTCTTTCGACGAGCTAATAGAGACTGTAATGTTGGAATCATCGCTTGCTGCTTTTGCATTGGGGATTCTCAGCAAGATACTTCCTTTTGCATCTTTCTTGTTACTATACCTTGATCTTATCCTCCCTATTTATAAATTTAAATTTGTTTTCAAAATGCCTCTTGGCGGCGAGAATAGACCGTTCACCGCAGTAGCGCCTCTTAACCGCAGTAAGGCCACTGCTACTCGCTAATAATGCCCGGTGTAATGAAGAATGTCATAAGATTTTCCGAAGACAACCGTAATTCCTTTGGTTTTACTAATATAATTCTAAAATTCATAAGCAGGTGGTTTTTCTAAGTACTCAAGAAGTTCCCCTTGCGTTGCTTAAAGTAAATATGTATGTATGTATTTTCCTGACTATTTAAAAAATAATTTGGTTGTCCTTTTAAAACCACGAAGCGTTTCACCTGCACTCAACTTGGTATATGTACCCCAAGCTAGTTTTTGTTTAAAATTTTGTACTTCTACAAAATGTATACACCCTCATTAAAAATATAATCTCCAAAAGATTAAAAAATATCAATATTTTGGGGACAATGGCTCTCCCGTATTAATCTTATCAGAGTTTGTACTAAAATATCATCATTATTGAAACCAAATCTGGGTTTCCTTGAAAAAGGAGTCAACCAAGCATAGAGGTCGACCATACAACTTTGTCTGAGCCTAAGGAAGATAAAAAAAGAGCGTGCACAGTAAGCAAAGACTTCCTTATACTCTTACAAACAAATATCCTCAGCCTCTATGGTGTTATTCCCTTGCCCTGTTGATATATCTCTATTCAGCTGTAATTTAAGAAGAAGGTTCTTCCATCTCCTACGCATTGCATGTTTTTTCCTGGAAGAAGCTGTACCAATAATGTCAGTAGAAGCGGTGCGAGAAAGAATGTAACAAAAAGGTTAAATTTATTTGTTAAACACGGGCCGCCATTAATACAGAATTCCTCAAAGATTTGTCGAGGCTTTTCATGAGTTTATCGCAATTTTGCGGGCTCCTTAAGAATTTTTTCGGGTGATTTTTCGTCGATTACTTTTTGAGGTATTTTAGTTATCGGGATTTTTTGATATTTCTTCAATATTTTAGACCTATATGTGGCTTTTTGTGAATTCTTTGGGATGCTCACACGGTGAGTGGGCTCTAATCTACCCATCCTCGGTTCAGTAATAAAAATTATTCGGCACATTTTCTATAGTCAACGCACTGATTTCTCGCATACAACTACTCAAAGTTTAAAAATAGTATCAATGACGTCAAAAACATTTGTCTGTACGTGTTAGCTGCAATCAATGCTAGACGGTCAAGCACCTAGAACGCACCATTTTCAATTAATTAATGTAAATATATTTACATGCATACATATGCACAAATGCACACACAAATGCATACATAAAGCACACTGCTTATTCCTTGCGCTTTATAAAAGCACACAAAAGTATTCATTACATCACATAGTCAAAACAAATCTTCAAATGGCATCACTAACGCCGGTCAAAGCGCTGCAGGAGCGCATCGGCGCCGCACGTATACTAATACGCCTGCTGCAATGTCTCGGACTCTGGCCGATCTGGCAGCAGCGATCCCAAGTTGGCATACAGCAATGGCACCACCACCTACTGGCGCGCTACTATCGCTATTTGCTTCACTTGCCGCTCACCTTCACCTACAATACGCTCATGTGGATCGAAGCGCTGACGCGTTGGGAACGCGCCGATCACATACTCTACATCTCCATCACGGAGGTGGGCATGATG